GTAATAGTCTTTGTTAATTAATCAACGCCATGTGAGTTAATCGAATTAAGCCTCGTATTATATAACTCAGATCGAAAAGCAAACCTATTAGAGAACTAGTGACATATTGAAAAGCGTTAAAAATGCCCCATCTAAGTAATGAAACCGGTAACGTAATGCAAAGTCGTACTGCAATGTCATATGGTTATAATCGAATCAGAGTATCTCGGGAGTCATTTAGAATGCAAGCGTATGATAGAATCTATTTCAGCAGTATCACTTTCATCTGTAAGTACACATGTGTAAAACCATAAGTAGTTACAGACTGGCGTTTTCGTTAAGCAGCTGTTCATAACAAGTTGTACAAATGTAGGTCTTTCCAGGAGCCACCAGGGACACTAAGAAGGTGGCAGAAGGATGAAGAAAGAATTTCAATGAAGTTTGTGGCAGTGCAAAAGTTTACTTTGAGTAAGAAATTACGCATCCAACCTGGTTTTATATGCCTGTCGAAATAACAGCTGAGTGACGACCCTAACTCGTTCTGTGCAAAAACAACTCAAAGCAGACAATAAAGAAGGCCATTGACCGAAATACTTCTAAGGCTTATACCACGACAAAAAAACTTTATTCTGTGTGTTTAATATAGCACTGAAAAAACAAGGCATTGTTTTGCACTGTGTTAAATACTATCTGTTCGTATACAGCAACAGTTTCGGCGTGCAGCAACATCTCTTGAAATAAGCTGAACAACCCGCTGTTCATTTGCAAAAAAAATTTCTCCACATCCAAAAATACCGGACAGGTGAACTTCGAGAACATTTTACGTAGATTCACTTATGATTTTCCAGTTGATTCAATACTTTGTGGTACTGAAGGCAACCACAGTTGGACATCAGCAGATGCACAAAACGATTCGTTCGCTGATGCATAAGCAACTTGATAGTAATAAGCTGTACCCAGGGAAGTCTAGGAAATCTCAGCTCTTTTCATATAAAACGCTTATGGAAACAAACCTTGACATAACTGCAAGATTTGTAAATGAATTCTCACGACTAATTTGACATACTTATGCTAACAGTGACTCAAGGGTACCAATGGTAGTGACAGGTGCAGCAGCCTATGTGCTAAAAGCAGATATGTCCGTTTAAGTATTGTACCCATATCTCTTCATGTAACATATTTGGCCCATGAAATTCATCGTATCGCCGAAGAAATAAGACTAGTGAGCTAACAGCATAACTCCATCCAGGAAGATGGTGTTCTGGAAAGCATAAGGAGGTTCAGTAAAAAGACCTCCAATCAGTGATTCCTCTGCTTTCAGAGCCTGTTCTCACCAGGTGGATTACACTATTGCCTGCATTTACAATTTTACCATCAGCATTTATATGAAGACGATTCAACCTCCTGCTGAAGAGGAAGTGATGCAGAAGCTAGCTTCGATAGGTTGAGATGGTGGCTGCCCGCCATCAGTGATATCTGTCAGCCACCAAACCATAAATTCCCCACTTCTCTGTATCCTTTGAGCTGGATGAAAGCTGGGAAGGTATTGACAGTCGTCCACGACCGCTGGTACCCCAAACAGAGTTTTGAACGACTCGCCAAACAACTCGTAGGAG